AGGGGGGGGGCTTCATACCCTCATCGGCATGACCGGCGTGCCCCCATTTACATGAACACACCCTGCTCCCCTCGAACTCTAGTATTGCAGATTTCCTCCTAAGATCGCCGAAACGCCTCCACGGGAGTTTCGAGAAGTACTCACCCGTCTGTTGAACAGCCTTCGTTCGTTTTACGTGTGGGACATCACTGCCACGAACTCTTGTATTAAATATAATATAATCTCTGTCAGTTTTTGGGCACACGGAGGTAAATATTATCATCCTAAAGCTTGTTTATTTATCTTGCCTTCAGTGATAACTTTTACCGTCTATCTTGTACAGAAGTCGAGGTATTTGCAATTGAAGGAGGTGAGGGTCACCTGATCTCAGAGGGAAGATTGGTGAGAAAATGGCCGCCAGAGTTTGTAGACCTCCAAAGCTCTAGTGTCCTTGGAAACTGCAAATTTACATACGGTAACTTGTGTACATTTGATCAACACTTTTTTAAAAACTCCATGCAGGAAGGTGTTTTACAAGAACATTAAAGGTGATGAGCCCGAAAGAAGCAATACAATTTTTTTTACATCGATAAAATTTGCCCAATTGACAGGAAAGTGTCGGTTTTCTTTTATTTCATTATTTTGACTAGCGCATACTTTAATCAAGATGCCACACAAAATTAATATAACTGATATCAATAATTGTTCCTACGAGAGTAAATGTTGTCTAACTTCATGCTGAGTTTTTTTTTTTTTTTTAGAAAAGAGGGATTTTTGACTTCAGAAATATAAATCTATGAAGTAGCCTACATATATGTATAACTCCTGCAAAATAAGCTCAGAAGTTAGAGGTTCACTTCAAAAGATGTAACAAACCTTTATTCCTCGGCAGTGATAAATCAGTGATGACTAGAAGTGGAGTTAAACTACTCTTTTTCTTAAGAACACGATCATAGTCCCCTCCTTACAACAATAATTGCAACTTTTAAAAAAATGTAGATGATGTATAGGCCCCATCAACACAATTTATGTCATTTAGGTGTTGGGCTTCGTCCCTGTCTGTCAGGGCCACCCCAGGATGCAAGAGATACAACGTTCCATCTGAAAAAACAAGATACACGATAAAATGTCCCAGGAATTGAACTTGGGTCCTCTGCGTGCGACGGCGAAGCGCAAAACCGCTACATCACAGATGCTGGTTACAACTGCAGCAGCAGCAGCAGGAGCAACAACAGCAACTGTAATAACAGCAATAACAATGACAACAACAATGGCATATTACTGCCTGCTAATAATGTTATGGGAACGGTGATGATGATAACAATAACGACGATAACGACAACGATAGCTATATATAAGAAAATAATATATAACGACAACAATAGCAATATGGACAACACACCAATAGTAACAACAACAATATTAACATATAATCCAACAACATTAATAATACATGCTTAAATCTTTCGCAACGACGACGGAGACGACAACAACGACGACGACGACGATGATGATGATGATGATGATGATGATGATGATGATGATGATGATGGTGATGATGATGATGATGATGATGATGATGATGATGATATCAACTATAAAGCATGAAGTACGTGAATAACAATCACTTTCTTTTGTTCTTCTATTAACTCATCCGTATCTCGATGACGTTGATCTGTCCTCAAACAGATGGTAAAGAAAAACGTTACTAATGATGTATATGTATTCATTGTTAACACATGTTTTCTCCCGTGCACTGCATTGGTTCAGTTAATGATTTCCACCTCTACTCTATTGAACTAAAAATGTAACTGTCACTTGAATGTGTTAGGGGGCGGGATGGGGGAGGGGAGGGGGCAGAAAATGGATACGAAAGCAGACGATAGAACAAGGTTAGAGAGCAGGAAAGGAAGTGAAAGGGGATTTTTATCAAGAGAAGAACATTTTCTGTCAATGTTAGGTTTCGAACCCGGGACCTATTGAATGAGAAGCGAACACTGTAACCGCTAGACCGCGTATTTACATTTTAAGTTTACTTGGGGAGAGGGGTTCACTTCCCTGCGAGTAAATCATCTGTGTATTGGAACCTTTTCCTGTAAGTATGACTCTCTCGTAGATTAATAACAATTCATTATTATCCGTCACCCCCTCCCCACCCCCACACATATCTAGGGATGTGTTTTGGCGTTCCTCTGTTGGAGCAGTCTGTGGCGTGCCCAGAACCCATGGTCTACTACTCTCCTCTCTGTATCTGCATGCGTGAGTATCTCCAACTGACATATCTCATTATTTATATAGTCTAATAACTTGGGCTCACTTGTTATGGGGAAAGTGTTATATTATGCATTTTGTATAAGTGATACAAGCGTTGCTTATTCATAAGCTTCATTTTTTTAAAAGTTGGACAACTACGAATCTTCTAATAATTCATTATGAAATCATTACGATTATGACCAATAGAAAGGTAACCATACGAAACTGATTAAAAACACACACACACACACACACACACACACACACACACACACACACACACACACACACACACACAAATAAAACAACGCAGCAACAACAATGCAACAGCAACAAGAAACTAACTCCTTTAACAAAAGAGTATACATGTAAATATGCATTTTGAATAAGTAGTCTGCACTTTCATTAAAGTTTGACTAAAAAGAAACACATTAACATGATAACGGCTATTTAGAGCAGGAAAAAACAAACAAAAAACAACGGAGGAAAAGAAGGGAAGTTAGAGCCACAAGTACAAGTGGCGGATCCCAACTTCCTGCACTTTGTAAATGAGAGAGAGAGAGAGAGAGAGAGG